TATTTTAAGAGGATATTTTAAAAGAAGTAAAATCATTCTTCACACACCAGGGAAAGCATGACTACTTCCACCAGCACAAGGATTACTCAAACAGCTAGCAGTATAAAATCTAGATAAAGCAGAGTATTAAATCCTCATCGGGGACAGATTGTGAAGTCATTACTCTCACCATTGAGCACTTACTCAAGTACTCCCAGAGGTTTCAATCAGACTGCCTTCACATAAGTAAGTGCTTAGAGTGAGTAAAAAGGTTGACAATCTGGTTGCAAGGAAAAAATTCTCAAGTGGGGCGTGAGATTCAAAATTAACATTTTTAAAGATTTTAAATTATGTATTTCTATAACGCGCTTTCCTGTGTGTGCTATGAGCCTCTGTTTATACCCACTTCAAAGGATTGTATTCTGTTCTGTCAGTTCTTCTATTTCACTCATTATTGCAGCATAAGAGCACCTCAGTAGCATATTCACTGACCTATTATCCATCATACATGGTTCATTTGTTCTCTCCGGTAGGAGAATTATATACATAATGTAGCATTCTGGGTGGAGGAGGGGGTGATGGCAATGTGGAAGAGGGGAAGAAATCATTTTGTGCAAGTGCTCTAGTTCCCAATTAACTACTTTACCACAAATTGTAATGGCTCTTGCTTTCAACTCTGGATGTCCCAGATTCAATCTCTGATGATAACCCAGGTGGCAGTTGTGACATTTGCAATGATGCAGTAGAACAATATATCATTCTAAATATTTAATTACAGCTTCATGTCTTTGGCACTATAAGTGCAATTTTATATTGTGCGTGGTCTATATTTTATGTTTTTTTCCACATCAATGTTTCCTCTTCAATGACAGAAATATGCATTAGGGAAATTTAAAGAACCATACCTAATAATTTAATGTTAAAGTGGAGAAATTGGAGCATACAGTCTCACACACACACTCTCATACTCTCTCTCTCAAAAGTAAAAAAGCTAAAATTTACAAAAATAACTAATACTTTGGAGTAGAATCAAAATAATAGAGAAGTAGGGCTAGAAGGAACCTCCAGAGGTCATCTAGTCCAAACCCCTGCCTGAAGAAGAATCATCCCTACCCAAATCATCCCATACAAACCATGATCTAAACTCTATATAAGACTACCATCAACCCTGATACAACACTGAACTCTTCAGCACCTTTTCTGCAAGCTGAACATGCCTAGCTCATTCAGCCTCTCCTCATATAACTTACCTTCCAAGACCTTGATCATCTTTGCTGCCTGTCCCTGGATCCTCTCTAAATTCTCCATGTCCTTTTTAAAATGTAGAGCCCAGAACTGCATACAGTACTGCAGATGAAGCCTAACCAGTGTCAAGCACAGAGGCACTATCGCCACCCATGTCTTACACCTAATGCTTCTATTGATGCAATCCAAAACCACATTCGCCTTTTATGCAGCTGCATCACACTGCAGACTTGTATCAAGTCTGTGGTCTACCAAGACTCCCAAGTACTTTTCTATAGTGCTGCCATTCAGTAAATATCACCCATTTTATATATGTATTTTTAATTATTCTTCCTCAGGTGTACCACTTTGCATTGTCTGCATTGAACTTCATCCTGTTAGCTCTAGCCCAACTTTCCAATCTGTTAAGATCCTTCTGAATTGCACTCATCCTCTAGTGTATTTCATAGATTCATAGATGTAGGGTCGGAGGGAACCTGAGCAGATCATCAAGTCCAACCCTCTGCACTGGGCAGGAATCAATACTGGGCTCATATGACCCCCACTAAGTTAAGCTCATATGACCCCAGTTAGGTAGTTATCAAGCCTCCTTTTAAAGACCCCTAAGGGAGGAGCCAACACTACCTTCCCTTGGAAGTTGGTTCTAGATCCTGGCCGCCCTGACTGTAAAGCAGCGCCTCCTGATGTCTAGCCTAAACCTGCTCTCAATTAACTTGTGGCCATTATTCCTTGTTACTCGGGAGGCACTCAGGGGAACAGGGTCTCACCCACTCCCCTCTGGTCCCCCCTGGTAAGTTTATAGATGGCCACAAGGTCCCCTCTCAGCCTTCTCTTGTGCAGGCTGAACAGGTCCAGGTCCCTTAGCCTCTCCTCGTAGGGCCTGCCCTGCTACCACTTGACCATGCAAGTGGCCCTCCTCTGGACCCTCTTGATGCTAGCCTCATCCCTCCTGAAGTGCAGTGCCCAGAACTGGACACAGTACTCCAGCTGCGGCCTGACCAGTGACGCATAGAGGGGGAGGATCACCTTCTTGGACCTGCTTGTGATGCATCTGTGGATACATGACAAGGTGTAGTTAGCCTTGCTGACCGCGTCCTCACATTGGCGGCCCATGTTCATTTTAGAATGGATAATGACTCCAAGATCTCTTTCTGCCACTGTGCTTTCAAGAATGGAGTTCCTCAGCCTATAGGCATGCTGCTGGTTCTTCCTGCCCAAGTGCAGTACTCTGCACTTGTCAGTATTGAATCCCATCCTATTCACAGTCACCCACCCCTGTAACCTGTCCAGGTCCAGTTGTATCCTGTCCCACCCTTCTAGCATGCCCACCTCACCCCAAATCTTGGTGTTGTCAGTGAATTTGAACAGGAAGCTATTCACCCCCTTGTCCAAGTCACTGATAAAGAAATTAAAAAGTACAGAACCAGCTTGATATTTTATGTTTGGTTGCATTGTTCTTCCAGCACATGCCCAGAAAACTGAAGTCTCCCATTGGTACCATCCTATTGCCGTTGGGTTGATTTGTCACCTACTTGAAGAGTGCCTCATCCACCTCCTCTTCCTGATTAGGTGGTCTATAATAAATTGACACCATTATATTGGTGCCGCATCTTTCACCTTTCATCTTCATCCAAATGCATTCTGCTTTGTTGATTTTTTCTTCCTGAACCAAGGAATAAGTGTATGTGTTTTTGACATACAAGGCAACAGCATCACCCTTTCTCCCAACCCTGTCCTTCTCAAACAGTGTAACCCTTATAAGCTGATAAAAGCTGTCCCGCCAGGACTTGGTGATGTCAATCAGGTCACAGTTCTTTTCAAAGGCTGCAGTTTCCAGCTTATCTTGTTTATTCCCCATACTTCTCACATTTGTATACATGCATTGGATATAGTCTGCATTTTGACTCCTTGCTTTCCTTTTGTGCCACTTTCAGTCCTGTTGTTCTCTGGCTCTTTCCCAGAGTTGAACTACTTCCTCAAGTCCTTTCTCCTCTGGATTGTGCACTCTGTTGCTGGAGGGTTTTGATTACTACCCCCTTGGAACTTAGTTAAAAGCCCTCCTTGCCAGGTTAACCAGATGATGCCCAAAGATGCTCTTTCATGTTCTTGTCAGATGGATCCCATCACTTAATAGTAGTCCTCCTCCACCCGCTCACTGTGGAAGAAGCCAAAGCCTACACTTCAACACCACCATTGCAGCCAAGCATTCACTTCCAGAATATAACAGTCTCTGCCTGCACCCCCTACCTTCCCCAAGAAGAATCGATGAGAACACCACTTGTAGTCCAAGCTTCTTAACCCTCCTGCCAAGAGCCTCACAATCACCTCTGATCTGTTTGGTGCTATTCCTGGCAATATTTTTTGTGCCTGCATGGACAAGCAGGAAGGGGTAGTGGTTCTGAGGATGAATGAGCTCTGGTAGTCTCTCTGTGACAACATGAATTCAGGCTCTAGGCAGGCAGCACACCTCCCAGGCCCCCAAATCTGGACAACAAATTGGTGTCTCTTGTTCCCTGCAGAAGGATGTCATCTACCACCATCACTCTTATCTTCCTTCTTGGTGCAGTGGTCCTGGACCCCCTGTTCTTGGGGCCTTGCACTTCCTGCTCTCTAGGCTGCTGCCTCCTCTGCCTCATGCCTGCAGATGTCCACTCCTCTGCCCTTTCCTCAGTAGAGTAATTGAAAGCAATTGCAGACTTAAAATCTGCTATTCTTCAATTCTGGGGCCCCTCCTTCTTCTAGTAGTCACATGCTGCTATTTCTCCTGATTGCCCTTTGGCCTTTCCCATACCAGCCTCATGCAACTCTTGTCCTATAATCTTCCTGGTCCCGGATGCAATGCAGCCTGTGCTTCCAATCTTTGATCTTCTCCTTCAGAACAGGCACCATCTTACACTTGGTGCAAATGAAGTGCCCCTGACCTTCTGGGAGGAACACAAACATGGCACATCCCATACAGGTCACACAGCTGACCCAGACTCCAGTTATGTCTCCTTTGCTCCCTGGACAACAATTATACTGTAGGGAGAAAAAGGGGGGAGGGGAGGGGAGGGGAGAAAAAGACACACCGCAAGAACCTACATGCCAAACAGCAGCACCAGGACCCTTGCCCATGCATGTGCGTATGTACATACCTCCCCCACCCACAATCTCCTGTTCCCTGGCTCGCTCCTCAGGGGAACTCCCTAAGTAACATCCCTCTCTGCTGTCCTATTTGCTGCCCCAAATGTTCATTAGGGGCTGCCTTTTCATAAGGCTGCCTAGTCTAGCTCCACCCCTCAGCTACCTAAACCAGTCCTACCCAGAGAAAGCCCTGTCACTCGTTCTCTCCAGAAGGGGAAGAAAAAAAAAAGAACAAAATGAGAAAGAGAGAGGAGAGAGAACAGAAAAAAAGCCTACAACATAGGGGTGTGGGGGAAATCCCAAACACACACACACCAAGCACTCGGCAAACATTCTAGCATCTATCAACTATCCTAAGTCACTTGCAGAGAAAAGACTCTTCAAGGCAGTCCCACACCTGAGCTGCTTATCCCCGAGCAATGATCCCCTGCTTACTGCTCAGTGCTCAACTTGAGATACATTAAAGGACCCCTGTTTCCAGAATGTGCCAGGCATTTGACCACCTGAAAACCATGCCCTTAAAACTTTCCAAAAGCATTAATTCTTTAAAAAAATGTAGCCCAAATGTACAAGGGTAACTGCTACCTTACTATGTTTTCGAGTGGCATTTTCCTTCTCATTTTGGAATACAGTTGTGGTGTTAATTTTCTTACCATTATTCCCAGTTCATCACAGATATCATAGAACTCATCTTGCTCATACACTCCTCCTCCCCACACCCGAAGTGCATTCATGTGAGCATCAACTGTGGACTGCAGGAGGCGCCTCAATCTGTCAGATTAAAACAGAACAGAGTGGTAAGAGTTTTATGAAATTACACCACTGAGCTTCAGTCTGGAGAAACGTGCCCAGCTTCATAACTTTTTTCTAAAAAAAAATAAATAAAATATCCCATACTCTTTATTATATCCAATTTGATGACTATCACAGGCAGACAGACTAAGACTTGGAACTGACAAAAACAGACTCTTTGGGCACCCCAGAAATCTGTATAGATTTGCACTGAATTGCCAAATATGAATTTCTGAAACTAAAAGTGTTCACTCCTGCTGACATGTACTAAATGATCTAAGGAAAATCCCCATGACAGTAAGCACTATGCGGCAGCTCTCTCTGAAGGATCAGACTTTAAAATAAGCAGGCAGGTTCCCAGATTATGCTCCATTTATCTACTTCATTCCTACAAACTGTTAACCCCTTTGCTCAGCAGCATAAGAATGCAGCCAGGTGCCCAGGTGCTGTGTTGACTCCCTGTTGCTGCTGCCACCACAATTGTAGAGCTGTGGCAAAAGCCAGTTTTCTTGTGCCCCTGCCCCCACCGGCACCTGAGGTGGTTGCCCCACCCTAGTAACACCACTGCCTTTTTCCTTTAAATATTATCCTGCTTTTCAGATACACCTAGTATCTGAAACTCTTTCCAACCATTTTAAAGAGCTCTTAGGAACATTGTTGTTCTCTCCCAATGTTCTGCAAAGCACGATTACAAAAGTGAAAGCAGAAAGAAAACCAATAACAGCTTTTAAAGACTTATTTTAAAGCTGGACCCAATTCTTCCAGGCTTAGTCACTCTAAAGCCATGGACAGATATGTAGTGCTACAAATGTCCTACAAAGGTTATGGGGAAAGATGTGCATGCCCCTTGTAGCACTATAAAAATGTTGCTGGTTGAAACAGGAACTTCTCTGTGACACACTCTTTTCTAGTGCCACATGCAACACGTGTCCAATGCATCACAGCACTACTGGAAGTCTCTTGGTCTCCCCAGCATGCCACAGCACTCCACTTTTTCCCCACCCTGAACACTGCTCCAAGGGGGGGGAGGAAAAGCAGGGTGAATAGTCACTGAGTAAAGTCCCATGGGAACGCATCCTGTCCACTCTCCTGCAGACCTGGGTGGTCAGTGAGTGCAGAACTGAGACTGCGCCATTCTGGTCCCACAGCCACTGACAGCCTGGTCCCAGCTGGGCTGCAGCTGTCAGTAAGCACAGGTCAGGGGCCAGGACCAGGGTTGTCAGTGAGCCCAGTCCCAAGCTCTGCTTGTCATGCCCTGAATGGTATGGCAGGCTGTCAGAAAATGAGCTCCCGTGCCCTGGTGGGGGAAGGAGCAGAGCCCACAGAGGCCAAGCAACCAATTATCCCTACACTAGAAAACATGCTGCAGAATGACTTTGCAGCACCTCTGTAGCACTTTTGTAGCACTCCAGTGGGAGAGGGGAAGGCAAGGAGAAAGTTTGCATGACTGTCTGTGCCTCCTAGCATTGTTGTAGCACTTCAAAGCAGTACAAGCATATCCATTGCTGAGTTGACATCTGGCCAGTAAGTTATCCTACTGCAGGCAATAGGACTAAAGGTAGAAAAACCAGTCCCTTGGAGGCTTCATCACCAAGACTACTAGAAATTTCTTCACCTTTTAGTCTAGTTCTGCACTCCTTCTCTCACAATGAAGAGTTCTTTGCTCATTCAGTTGCCCCATTACTGATTTCAGTGAGACCATTCAAAAAAAAAAAAAAAAAAAATGTAATGCTACTCAACCTAAATAAGGAGGGGCAGTGTAGAAGGGTGGGCTGTCCCTTTCAGGAGGAACAATCAACCCTGTAGCGAAAGCTCAGCTGTAGGACATTTGGCCAAGGGACAGGGGTGGGCAAAATATGCTCCGTGAGCCACATCCGACCCTCCAGGCCATTCTATCTGGCCTGCGGGGCCCCTAAAAATTTAGAAAATATTTGTCTGCTCCTGGCTGCCTGTCAAAGATGACAGGAGCCAGGGTCAGCAGGACCCAGGGAGAGCCTGAGCAGAATGCAGCAGCCCAGCCCTGCCCCACTCCAGGCATTTCTCTGCCTTCCTGCCCCTGCCCTGCTCCAGCACCAAGTGCATCCTGGCTCCATTGCCGGACCAGGGAGCACGGTGCCTCGCCAGTACCCCATGAAGCGTGTGTATGGGGAGGGAGTGCGTGTTTGTAGGGTGAGCCCCATATGCACACACCACCATACACATGCACTCACCACCCCTTGCACTGCCATACACGCAGACCCCCACACCTACACTCCCTCACATACCCCAGCCACCCTCTTCCCACATACAGCCCCCCACAAACCCCATACCCCCCACATCTCACATATCCACACACACCCACGTGCTCCCTCACACCTATCCACCCCCTCAGACAGCAACATATCTATACCCCCACAGCCCCCTACTAACCTATACCCCCCCACAATATACAAGAGTAAAACTTCATTTTAAGCTATTATATACAATCACCTCTATGTACACTACACAAACGCATGTAAACCAGGATAAAAATATTTTTTGAAATCAAATTAATAAATGTTTTAGATGTTTGCTTTTTAGAATATAATTTGGTATTTTTCTGGTTCTGAGATGGCAACCCCTTGCTGAAAGGAGCATTTCTGGGGGCAAGGGAAGGGACTTCTGGTGGCAAAGGTCAGGGGTTAGGGGCCAGGACTTCCAGTTACAAGATGGTGACCAGGGGGCACCTGTCAAGGAGCAGGACTGCACATGCAGTCCTCGACAGCTTGCTAAAACTTGGTAAGTGGTCCTCTGCCCAAAATAATTGCCTGCCCCTGCACTGGGAGCTTTAAAAAACTTCCACAAGAGAGAACAAGGGGATGGAGGAAGCAAGTTGCAAAAAGGAGCTCTTTTCTTAGTGTCCAGGAGAGAACAGAGGATTTCATTTTGTTTGTTTGTTTACTGAACTTTGGTTTGGAGAACTGGCTGAGGAACTTATAAGGGAGTGAATTTTCCTGCAGAAGCCAGAAGGCTAAATGATCTGCTTACAGGCACAATCTGGCCCTTCCTAAAAAGATATATATATATATATATATATAAAAAGAATATTTTTATGAATATAACTCACATATCAGAGGTGACCCTGTCCTGGAAGGAATCTGCTGGAATCCAGTTGGATCCTTTGAAGAAAATGGGGAGTCCATTGATTCTGAAGTAGAAGCTCAAACCTGATGACCCAGGTATAGGCTCCTCAACAAGTTCCACTGTTCGAAAATACACCTGGGGGATTGAAATTTTTAAACAGCCAAAATAAGGAAGATATAAAGAAAGAGATCTAAACACCTATCTTTTATCTCCAAGTATTATTAGGAGGTCAATGCACTGAGCCATTTTTTTTTAAAGTAAAAGGGGGGCTTGCTAAAGAAGTCATTGAATGTGGTCTTATATCCACAACATTAAGTCGCTTTCATTTTAAGAGGAGACTAAAACTAGAAATCCCCCAAACTTTATAATTTACAAAGAGAAAGAGAATGAACGAATGAATATATGGAAAGCCCTATGAAAATAGGGCTGGAAGGGTCTTCATGAGGTCATCTAGTCCAGCCCCCTGATCAAGGCAGGATCATTCCAGATTAAACCAACCCAGCCTAATATCTGTTTAACTTGCTCTTGAAAACTTCCAAGGATGGAGGTTTCACAATTCTTCTACGTAGACTGCTCCAATGCTTGACTACCTTCATTTTCAGGAAGGTCCTCCTAATCTCTAGCCTACATTTCCTTTGCTGTAGTTTAAGGCCATTTCTCCTAGCCTGTCCCCTATGGCCACAGAGAAAAAGCCCATTTCCATTGCGTCCTCCCTATAATCACCCTTCAGGCATTTGAAGGCTGTTAATAAAATGCTCAGCCCAAATCTGACCACATCCAAAATTTGAGCCTCATCTTTTCACTAAGATTAGTTGCCCCAGTAATGACACTTTCCCGATGGAAATCATTCTGTAATGAGAATTAAGAAGAAAACAAAAGGAGAAGAGGAAGGAGAATGAAGACGATACATGCATATTGTCGATAGCTGGAGAGGGATAGACTTCTCTGGACATCTTAGTTTATTTAAATGTGTGCTTGGCACAAGCACACCACAATGACTAGCTCTGATACATAACCACTGAGTTAATTTAAGCTATTGGGGGTCAGACAGTCATTCAACAAGTAGAGACCCAAGTATCCATTACAACTGCACTTCCAATGTGTAGTCCAGATCATCTGTAGAAGGAAATCAGTTGATTACCATACTGTAGATATAATAACTACAGAATGCAAGCTGTTTTCTTCTTTTGCTGCACATGAAAGAAGACTGAAAAGAGATGGGATCTTTTTGCCACTATTTATACCAGCGTTGTATTGAACAATACTCTGCTTGCATCAACAAGTGTGCAGTAAAGAATTTCAGTACCATATAAAAGTGAACTGTTAATTACATCTGTAGGACTGTATGGAGAAGCAAGTCTATGTAAAAAATATACTGGATTTGTCTCCAGTTTACTGAAGGAGGAGCTAGGAGACAGGAAGACATTTTAAGCTGCTGTTCAAATGCAGAATGTTACCAGCTTGGACACGATTTCATTCAGGAAGACTGCACTCGATATTTCTCTCGTTTTCCTCTCTCAAATACAACTGATATATATTTAAAATACCCATTTTGCTTTATGTGTACAAAACAGAAGTACCAATACATACATGCTTCTTCCAATTGCTCAACATACCAGATATACAGATTTATGAAATAAATTCAAATGAGATGATGGGAGGTAACCAAGGAATAGCAGCCAGCAAACCCAAAATGACAAGCTGGTATCAGAGTCACAGCTAGAATTTGGGGATTTCCTAACTTCCAAATTTTAGCTTAAATGAACAGACCACATCTTCCTCATGACTATTTGCTGTAACATGTTCAAGACAGTAGGGTCTAGAATTGTACTGGACAATGCTAGAGGTGAGTATGTATCCCAGAAATGTACCAGTAAGAGAAAGTTTAAATAAGTGCAATTGATATACCTGACAACTGGAGTAAACTGGAGTTCAGACTAGCTTTACATGTCAAACAAAGGCTGAAATCTGAAGGACCACTGATGACGCTCACATATGCTTAAGCATTACAGTTCTTCATCTCAATCTTAGATATTGTTAGGGAAAATAACATTGTCTTGTTTAGTTTCCCTTTAGCAACTGAGGCAAGCCGTGAAAGGATTAATTTTGACCCCATGTAGAAACAATCCATAGGATTAACTGTGTGAGCAGAGATCACATATTACTCAAAGACAGACCCTCCTGGGTCACATCGATGACCAACAACATATATGTAAAAGAAAAGAAACATGGAACAATCCTGAAAGTTACAGAATAGAGCAGAATCCTACAGGAAGGTTATGCCTAAAGCAACACAAAGGCAAGGTAGAAGTGCACCGTATAGATTAACTAAACCAGAGATGCATTAAGCTATTGTGAGTCACAGTGCATCTGATGCAATGAGCTGAGCACAGCATCATGCTTTGTGACAGGTGGGTGTGGGGCTTAAACCAGGGGCAGGCTTGAGGGTTGTGGGAAGAAAGGGCAGAGCCAGGGTGGGTGCCATGGGAGGAGGCAGGGCACTGGGCAGGGCTAGGCTGGGGGCATTGCAGGAAGGGGGCTGTTCCAGGCTGGGGGGCAGTGGCAGGGGCGGGATTGCAGGGCCAGACTGGGGGAACTGGTAGGGCAGGTTGGAAACTTAATGGCTCTCCGATTCTACCTTGCTATCTGATTTCAGAACTTCTGACTTCAGGCTATCCGCTTGTATAAAGCTGCAAGATTTGGTTACAGTTTCATGGGCTTCAGGGCGATGCTAAACAAACCCCCACCACATCAAATTACAATACTGGCAATGCTCTTCATTCCCTGCCCTATCCCTGGTCCCCAGGGAGGATCCAAAACACTCCGCTAGTGAAACCCCACCTCATGGATCCTTGGTTCCAAGGATGGGTTGTATGAGTCTACAGGTACCCTCCCACCTCAAGGTCTGGATCTATTGCTTTATCCTTACCCTACGTGGGGGCAAATTCAACACTGGCTGCCATACATGTAAGCCATCTAAGGGGGAGGGAGATGAACCTCCTTTACCCTATTTAATTTCTTTTTATCCTATTTGCATTCTTATCAGCTGATTACAGTACGATGGCCTTAGGCTTGAAGACAGGGTAGATCCGCGCCTTTATAGAAAAAGGTATATATAGACAGACAGACAGACAGAGCATAAGCTTGCATGAATCCAAGTTCACTTCTTTGGATACTGTGAAAGGACAGCATAGAGAAGAGTATAAAGCGGAGTGAATACTTAGAACAGTACTTCCCAACTGGTGTGCTGCAGCAATTAGTTACAATGATCTTATAAGGATGGGGATGGGAAATGCCTTAACAGTGTGCAACAGAAAATGTTTATTAATCTAAGTGTGCCACGGGCTGGAAAAGGTAGGGATACACTGGCTTAGAATACAACAGGTGGGAAAGCAGGAGAGAGAAAGAGAGAGAGAGAGAGAGAGAGAGAGAGAGAGAGAGAGAGAGAGAGAGAGCGCGCGAGCTGTGAGAGGCATACAAGCAAAGAACCCACAGGAATAAAAGGGGTCACAAAAGCTAATCCAGGTAATGGGATAAGAATCCCTAGTCCCCGTTTAAACCATACTTAACACAATCAAGTTTGTGGCTGGTTTCTAGTTCTGCAACTTCCTGTTCAAACTAGCTTTTAAAATGTGTCTGCCTGAGAACAACAATCCTGAGGTCAGTGATGGAGTGTCCACCCACAAGCTTTTGTTTCTTTCTGCAGCTGATATCAGAACAGTGTTCATTCATTCTTGTACATAGGGATTGCTCTGTCTGTCTGAGGTGGACATTGTAAGCAGGTGACAGCATATACGACATTGGTAGAGCTGCAGGCAAATGAACCTTGGGATGCTGTATTCCTTGCTATTTGGTCCACTGATGATGTGGTCTGTCTTGATGTGAGGGCACAGCAGGCATTTGGGTCCGCTGCAAAGCCTGGTGCCTCGGTGAGGATGGGAGTTACTTAATCTGTTGCTTAAGAAATGCCGTTTAAGGTTGAGGGGCAGTCTATAAGCCAGGACAGGTTCATCTCCAATGGCTACCTTGAGATGGTCATCCCTTTCCAGGAGGGGTTAGAGATCATAAATGATGCATCTTAGGTATTCAAGCTGAGGCTAAGGCTTAGTATAGAAGCATTCCTGGAATCTGTCATGTCCTACACACAGACTTGTTCAATATAAAATGCTTAACAAACGTTTGTCTCGCTAAATGCAACACCTCTCATAACCATTAATATTTAATCAGAAAAAGAATCAACTGACGGACTAGCTAAAAATTCCCATCCTTTGTCAAAAAAATAACATCAACTATAGGAAACAAAATTTCAGTATCTGGTGATGTTCTTTCTTCGTGGCATTTAAATTAAGTTGGAAACTAAAAGGTGGGAAGAGACCCAGAGTCAAAAGTGAGGGTGACAGAATGGCAGGATGCCCCCCTAAATTTGTGTATGGTGATACACAGAATATAAATGCCAAGATGGACTAGGGGCAAACAGGAAGGCACTGTGAAAGTAATGGGGGTGAGGAAAGAATATACAAGTTAAAAACCTTAAAGCACTAAAAAACTGACACAAAGTGCAAACAAGAGCTCTGAAGATGATGTAGAAATGAGTGCAGAGAGGGAAGGAAAGACAAAGAGTCCAGAAATAAACACAGGAGAACTAAAGAGTTTTCCATAGAAAGAAAAAGAGAATAAAAAAGGCAATAAGTTGTTTGATGTAACCAGGAAAGGACTGTGCATAATGCAAACAGCTAGACTAAAGTGTTCACACACTGAAAAAACAATTACACCCTATCCTAACCACTTGATCAGGGTTTTATGCTACATCTTCTGAAAAACAAATTCCAAATGGAATGATTTAAATTAACAAGAAAAAAAAAAATCTTTTGGACCGTGGCTGTGTTGTAAGAAATATCTGAAAGGGGATGGAAAGCAGCCAAATTCCCCTCCTATAAGAATTTCCTTGCTTTGGGCTACGCTGTTCTAAAGGCAGGTGTAAAGCAAGGCAGCAATATGCAGGAAGCAACTGCAGGTTAGAGCAGTCCCTAAAACTCCTCTAATTTGCAGAAGGGACTGCACTAATGCTAACAATGGAGAGCTGGAAATTGGATGTTGCATTTCTTAATGTGCATGCATGTGTGCACACACATGCATA